TAGAATAACATAATTATTGAAGATAAGTATTATTCATGCTGGTAGTATGGGAACGTTCCTCATTTATTAACATTTTAGAGATAAAAACGGAGCTTTTTGTTCAAAATAACTCTGGCAGGCTCCTAATTGTTGGTTCCAGTGTATAAATTATTTTGGCGTTGTTGTAGTTCCACGATGTGTACACTTCCTCAATTGAACCTGTGACACATTTGAAATGATAGTTGTGTATTTTAGGTGAAATATGAAGAGTGTCGGCTCCCTCCTCGCACTAATAAGTTCACTCCTGGATCACTGAAAGTTGGTGACATAATAGAGGCTTTGATAAAGCAAGATGACGAGAAAGTTTTTGGATGGCAAAAAGCAAGGATAAAAGAACTTAAAGTTAGTTCAACGGAGTATTTAGGGAAGACGTCATTCATGTGTATGCAAGGCATCCATTTTTCAGATACCTTTTTTTTTTTGAGGTGGTAGTTGTGCGTTCATTTTCGTACATGTGGGGTTCTTTGGTGTTAAATTTTTATTCTGTTTGAGCTATGGTAGGGAATTTGTTGGTTATACTTATTTATGGATCAGCTAATTTTTTTGATCTAGCAATTACAAAACAATGACATCGAGATGACTGGCGTTTTTTGGTCACTACAGTATTGTAATTCATTTCTGTTTTCTGACACTATTCTGCAGGCTGAGATCCTTATTTAAGCCTTGGTTAATTAGTGTTTTTTTTTTTTGTGTAGATGCTTCTTTTTTGCCTCACATATTTAGTAACAATCAATTAAATTTCAAATATTTATTAACTTTTCGTTTTTACAATTAAAAGAATTCATATTTTTCCTCGCATAACGCTTTGTATAGTTTTTATGAAAGAGTCATTCAGCACATTTTTTGTTCTAGAGTTACTCAAGACATTCTTATTCTGCTTTTTGTTGCAGAGGCCTCTTCAAATTAACTAAAAAGTTAGAAGCGTTCTTCCTGCTTTCTGTGGTAGTTACTCCCATAAAATTAATGGTTACTCAAGTCTTTAAACTGATCGGTTTCAACTTTTTTCCTCATATTGTGTTGGGGAAATAGAGATGGCGAGGAGAACATTCAGGATTTTAATTTTAAGGGTGAATTGGCAGCTGTGGAAACCGTTGAAGGGCCATCGCGTATGGATATAGTGCCTTTTGAACGTCTTCGTTTATTGCCAACAAAGAGCAACCCAATTAAACAGAGTGATTTTAAGCGTACGGAAATCGCAGTGCCTGAAGATCTACGTGATTATTTTAAGAGACCCGGTTCATTTGATGACTTCGTTCATACCGTCAAAAACGTGTTTGTTGAATATGATGAAGAATCTGGAAATTTACTTATTTCTGTGGGTTTTTCTTGTGATTCTTCAAGTATGGACTAGAATGTGCAAATTTTTTTTGTTAAAGATTCAGAATGTGTATCCTAATTCATTTTAGACTTATGAAGAACAAGCAATCAAACGAGCTGAGGTGCTTTCATTCATGTATTTTAAAGATTCACGTCAAAAGATGCTACTACTTCAACGCCAAGAAGTTAGTTTATCAGTCGCTACGGACTTTCATTAAAGTTCCCATTTTTCTTACTGAACTTTGTTTTTGCAGAAAATGAAGGTTTTATTTCTGTTAACTCACTAGTCTTTAGTTTCTTATCAGTGTGAAGACTTTCGTTTTTTTCTATCTACAGAACTAGCTAATTCCAATTGTTTAACTGGCTTGAATACCTGTTGCATTTTCAGGAGGAATTTGCGTAGTGCTTTTGTTGTTGTTGTAGCTGTTCTCTATTTATTTTTAAAATTTTCGGATTGTTATTGAGGTAAATAATTGCTGGATTTTTTAGGAGGCTGCTCGTTTACTAGAAAACGCATCTCTTTATTCATCGACGCATGTTGAGGAGTTTACTGTTCCTTTTGAATTAATGGGTTTGGCTATCGGCTCTCATGGTACAAACATACAGGCAGCACGTAATATTAAAGGTGTAGAAGACATTCAAGTGATTGAGAATGCCGATGGTCATACGCCGGTTTTGTTTAAAGTAATTTGGTTTAGTTTTATTTTACGCATTTTATTGCATTGTTTTTATTTCAATTTTTTAATTTACAACACATAAATTCATTGATTTTTTAAGGTCTATGCTGAAAGTCCTGAAGCCGCACAGTCGGCTCGTTCAATGCTTGAATATGCCATGGAGTCTTTCGACGTTCCGCGCGGAATGGTCGGGAAAGTAATCAGCAAATCTGGTCGAACTATTCAGGTTAATCTATATTACCGCTCAATGACAGTTTTCTGATTGCTTACAGGAAGCGATCTTCAGGCATAATTTTGAAGAAAATCCTGAAAGTTTTTTTGTTCAGTTTCAAATTTAAATTACTAGAGTGAGTTGTCTAAGGGAAGCTAAGCCATTGAATGACCTTCTTTTTATCCAGACTTCAATTAGGTAACGTCCAGAAAAATGGTGTTGCATTTTTACCTATTTTCGGGTTCTCTCGGTAAGAATAACTTAATGGTGAATTTTTGAGAAGGACGGCTTAGATGCATGTTCTCTTAATTGCACTTAACTGTTAATTGTGCCTTTCGGAACATTACTGGTTTTGAAAGAATTGATTTATTAAGAATCTTTGTAAAATAACAGTCGCCTTCTTTATTATCGAAGATGGAGTTATGGCACTGTAGTTGACAGGTCTTTTTCATGGGCGGTAGAATACTTCTGTTTCTAAATTATTTTGTAGATATAGGGGGACGTAGATTTTTACTCCTTTATTTTGTTTTTCAAAAATTATTAGTCTTGTTTTCTCTTTGTTAAGGTTTATCGTCTTTTTTAAAGAGCTTTAGAATGTTCTGATGAATCAGTATTTAGCAGTTGTATGTGTAATCCCTTTTTAAGGATAGTCTGTTGGTATCATATAACGTCTTTTAGGACATTGTGGATAAATCTGGTGTTGTTCGAGTTCAAATCGAAGGTGGTGACGGGCAAAATAGGGCCGATGAAAATGTATACTTTTCTTTAAACATATTCAAATCGTATAAGTATTATTAGGGATTTCAAAGAATCAGGATTTCTTAATGTTTCTCCTTCTATGTTTTTAAGGCAGACGAGCCCGTCCCGTTTGTATTTACTGGGACAAAAGATTCCATTGCTATGGCACATTTGCTTATTGAGTACCACTTGCGTCATTTGAAAGAAATGGATGAAATGCGTGTAAGCGTTGTTGAGATGCAGCGGCAACTTCATTCGCGTACAACCCCTCCTCCATCCGGTGTGAATGGGAACGGGTAAATTTTTTTGGTTAAATACTTCTTCGTTTCAGTTTTTACCATGTGTTCTTTTAAGCAACCGAATTTCCATAGCAGGAGTAAGAAACCTACTAATGTTAAAATGCAATACAGTGCTTGTTGCAAAAACGATTTGAAGAAGTCCTGGAATTCATAAAGTTGATTTATATTTCTGGAGTGAACAGCGGATTTGATACAAAACTTTATTTGTGCAGCATGTGAGGTTTTCGTAGGTCTTATTCTAACCTCATAGATTCATTTCTGTACTGTGTTCTTGAGCAGCGAGTGAGCTTTTTAGCTATCGCTATGAAAGAGGTGGGCAGGACGGGTTTGCTGGTGCGCGAGGAGCACCCGTTCGAGGTCGTGGGCGTGGAGGTTCTCTTCGTGGAGCATTTAGGCAAAATAGAGGTATATATGCATTAGAAATATTAATTTTGATTTAATCAGCTTTAGTCTATTTTTGATTGGTTTTCTTTCGATTAGTCTTAATGTTTAAAGAGGATTGTAGGTAGTGGGGAGCAAGAAGAACGGCGTCGTGGGATGGAGGATGATAAAGTCCCAGAAAAGGAAGATAGTAGTGACAGAGATATGCGCAGAGGACCAACTGCGTCACGTACGCGAGCTGGTTCTCGGCGTGGTGGTAGGTTATATTTTTTTTCTCAGTTCTACAAGTACATATTTGTAAGGAAAATCGAATGTACGCATTGCGTAAGTCGCAGTTTTCATCCTGAAAACTGCAGGGAGTGTTTACGTTAAAAAACCAAAAATCCTTTTCTTGTTAGTCGTTCTTCAGAGCGGTGGTGTAGTTTGCGCAATTTCGTGATTGATCTTCGCTGTTTTACCCTTTTTCTTGGTGGATTGCTCTTATAGATATGCTTTTGAAGGCAATAGGGGTAGATTTATTCTGAACTGCCTGAGAAGTTGGATTAAGAGGTCAAAACCACGAAGCCATCAAATTTTTTTTTTTTTTTAAATCTTGTAGAGAGTTGGAAA